GGTAGCTGTCAAGAATATCCTTAAGTACTTGAGAAGGACTAAGGATTCATTCTTGATATATGGAGGTCAGGAAGAGCTTGCTGTAATTGGATACACTGATGCTAGCTTCCAGACAGATAAGGATGACTTTAGATCGCAATCTGGTTATGTGTTTTGTTTAAATGGTGGCGCTGTGAGCTGGAAAAGTTCAAAGCAAGATACAGTTGCTGATTCTACAACCGAGGCTGAGTATATTGCTGCCTCAACTGCAGCAAAGGAAGCTGTTTGGATCAAGAAGTTCATTAGTGAACTTGGCATAGTCCATAGCATTGTGGATCCCATTGATCTCTATTGTGATAACAATGGTGCTATCGCACAAGCTAAGGAGCCTAGATCTCACCAACGATCCAAACACATACTTAGGCGTTATCATCTCATTCGAGAGATAATCGATCGGGGAGATGTGAAAATATGCAGAGTACCTACACTTGACAATGTTGCTGACCCATTAACAAAGCCTCTTGCGCAGCTGAAGCATGATGGACATACTAGATCTATGGGTATTAGGGGTATGCCTGATTGGCTATAGTGCTAGTGGGAGATTGTTGGTGTAAGCCCTAGAGGCCAATACTTTTGGTACTTGTATCGAATTATTTATTAATAATAAAAGGCATTTCTTTATTATGTTTTCCAAAATAATAAAGTCCCTAGAATGGTTTATTGGTTTAATGAAATGTTAAGTGTGACTTAATCATGAGATCCCATTAAACATAAGAAACTATTCTTAAAGTATCCGTAGTCAAGCTTTAATGTGAAGTGGGATAACATTAAAGCATTAAGATTATTATGAAGATAGATTGATGATCACATCTCATGGATCATAGATAAGGAGTTATCAAGTCTTGACATAGGTATGAATATTAGGAGTAATATTTATACTGGATTGACCCGTTATGAGAATACTACATAGAATGTTATGCAAAGTGTCATAAGTTATTCTCATGATGATAATGGTGTATACCACCCTTCGACCTGAAACCACTATGGACCCTAGATGTAGAGTCAAGTACTTTATTGCTGATCAAACGTCATTCGTAACTGGATGACTATAAAGATGGTTGATGGGTACTTCACAAAGCATGCTAAGGGACATGAGTGACCTAGATGGAATTTGCTCATCCTGCATAACAGGATAAATGTCTAAGGGCCCAATATTGAACTGAACAAGGGTGACACAGTGTATGCCTTGTGTTCAATATAAACATGAGGGCAAAAGGGTAATTGTACAACACAAATATTATCACGGAAAAGGTTTGGTCAGATCACATGACATTTTCGTGACTTGGGTAACAGTGATGTGTTGCTAGATACCGCTCACTGTTTATTATATTAAATGTGTAATTTAATATAATTGCCAACATCGCGAAAACCTACAGGGTCACACACATAAGGACAGGTTGATGAGAGATAGAATAAATAAGGAACACCGTAAGGTACGGTGCACTTAAGTGTAATACGGAAAGTGGTAAGGTACCACGTGGATAAGTGATATATGGTACATCATAAGGTATGATGTCCATAAGCTTAATTGGGCTTTTAACTTATAGCCTTACTTGGGCTTTTAGCTTGTAGCCCACACGAGTGATTCTATAAATAGATCCCTTGTGATGAAGTTTTTTCACTTGATGCATTTTCGTTTTTGACTCTCTCTCTCACTCAAGGTTTCCGTTCGTGATCAGCTAGCACTGTGACCGGAAGCGATCTGTTCGTGTGGACTGAGTAGAGGCGTTGTTCTTCATCAACGCTCATGATCACGACATCAAAGGTCTGAATCTCCACAAGAGGTAAAACTTTCTATCACTGACCATGCTCATTCGTAATGATCTCTAAAGGAAAATTTTATATTCCGCTGCGTTTTGATCGCAATTTTCCTTCATCTCGTACCATGCACCCTCGTTCCCCGTACCTTGGATCTTAATCAAACATTCCACAACCGCGCGCCCACCATAGCTCCCAACGCACGCTACACTCGATCCAAACGGGCCTATATCGAATTCAATTCTGGGTCAAGCCCAATTACTAACCACACATCCCTATTTACTGCGTAATTAAACAAATGCACCCCTCTTGCACTATTGGGCCAAGTCCAATATCTGAACTTGGGCCCTTGCTTCCTGTACCCCCTATGATTTGATCCTAAATCCAATATCTGGATTTAGGACCCTGTTATTCACACCTCCAAAATTACTAGCCAAATTGAGTATGCACCCCTCTGCGTTTTTAAAAAATAAAATTAATTTATTTTTATAATTTTATTTATTTATTCATTTATTTGTTTATTTATTTTATTTTTTGCATATTAATAATTATTGGACATATTTTTAGTATTTAATATATTTATTTTAATAAATTCTAAAATTGTTTATTTTTTTAATTCAAATTCTTTTTTTAAAATACTTTAATTGCATTAAATTGTTTTTTCTCATGCATTAAAATATCTTTTTTTACACATTGCATAATATATTTGAAAATATCTAACCAATCAAACACTAACTTTTTCTTACTAACTTAATAAACTCGAGATTTATTTTCAAAAAGGATTATGGAAATATCTTTTATATTGACTGCGAACTTCGTCTACAAATTATGCTATTCACACACCTAGATTTGGTCCAAAGGAAGATGTTTCCATAGTCCATAAAAAAATTAACTAAACTACTACGAACTGCAAATTAGGACTCTGATTCCTCTTAAGAGGATACATAGGCATACAACTCAAAATCGTGGCGAATTCCCCTAATTAAAATTAAAATCCTATTCCTAAACCGTAAACCTAAACCCTAGTATCTTTGTGAACAAGGTAGGTGATGGGTTCCTAACAACTTCCATTCGTCTAAAACGAGTCAACAACTTAGAATCTCTTATCCAAATTAGGGTTATCTTCTATATTCCCTTCCCTAGGGTAAAATTTAATGGTGGCAACTCTATATTTTCAACCGGTTATTACAGAAATGTGTTGAACAACTTGATACTTTCTAGGTTAGTCCAAAAAATATCACGAATACTGACGTCGTTCTCGCAAACTCTGTACCTAGAAACATAGTGGTTATCGTCCAAACATTTAAATAAATATTGCATTTCGGACCTCATACCTCTTTGCGCAATGTGTTGTTTATAACGATAATTATAAACCGACTTGATATTTGAAACACATTATGGTTTATTCTATTTCAATCTGGCAAGTACGTTTCTCAACGCAACTTTGATTAGCGACAATTCTAAAATATATTCCTTCTCAATCGGATTAAGCCGACATACAATTGGATGCTCTTGTAGCTTGGTGTCCAACGCATGATTATGCATACCAGACATGACATTATACCGCCATAAATAATCCACCCTACAATAACCGCGCAATTTAAACGGACACTCACATTTCCTCGATCCTGTGTCATGTTTAACCTTTCAAAGTTTTGGAACATATTTTCCACTTCTCTCGCATGTGATTACAATAAAGGGTTGCCTTCTACTAGTCCCATTGTCGGACCTTTCAATCACAACGTCAAACCTAACTTTGCTAGCTTCCATTTGAACTCATTCAAATATATGTTGACGAGAGGTGAAACTTTTATCATTTGTAAATTATTGTCCATAATCTTATCACAACATCATTCGTTGTATCAACGTTCTTCACCTCATTCGACTTAGCATCATCATTGACCTTGTCCGAAACCTCTATGACATCTTTGAGAATATTATCGGGGTGCACCATACCTACCACGACCATAAAAACATAAATTCTGTTAAAACAAAATTATGATTCTGTAACAGACATGTTTTTGGAAATGCACATCTGAATTATGGTAGGTTGAATTCAGATATGCATACCTGAAGCGATAATGTTTTTTTTCTTTCACAAATCCGCATAAGGTAGAGAATGCATGATGAAATGATGAAAGTTTACCTTAAATTGCAGCTTTCTATGCTCTTTTTGCTATACTCAAAAACTTAAAACTTGATATGGAGACGAAAATTTCATTGAGAATGGTTGAAATTTTGTTCAGGGTTTTGGTTAGAGGAAAGAAAATGAATGAAATAGTTGAAATGAGTGACCATGCAACATTCTAATATGGAAATAGTAGTTTAAGATATGCACATCCGAACGCACCTATCAGCATATTTCAGATAAACATATCTGAAACTATCTATAGAATTTAAAATCCAACATTTAAATATTAAAACATGTAAAAATAGTGTCTTCGAATATTCATATCTAAAACATACTGATAAGTGCGTTTGAATATTAAAAAAAAAAAAATTCAAATTTTCAATATTGCAAATCACTATTATTAAATATGATATTAAATATATAGATAATATCTCTAAAATAAAGTCATTAAAATAAATTTATTAGACCGGAACAGGGCAGAGACAAGCAGGTGTTAACATCATCCGCTCTAACTTCAGTAAATAAGAATTAAATTTTTCTCGCATTCGCATCCAGATTCAATAAAATCAAATTTTTTTCTCATAATTTTGAACGGGTAAATCCAGATTTTCTTACCATGCCTTAAATAAATCTATATTTTGTAGGTAAAAAATATACATGCACTATGACTATGTATACGTGTCGCATGAGTTTTAAAAAAACAGTACATGCATCAGTACGTGTGGCACTAGATAAAGAAAGAGATTGAAAAACTAAGCGCGAGTGTAAATCTGGTCACTGGTGATAATAATATGAGCCACATATCAGTCCTAATACAGCCTCCCCCATGAATTTCTCACACGCCTAAAACGACCGTGCATACGACGCCAATATACAGTAAACGAATCTTCGCATTTAGGTGTATTTCCTTAACGCTGAAGTATAGGCAGAAGTAACAAAGAAGAACTCATTAATTCATTACCAATTCATTCATCTACTTTCTTCTTTGTTGCTTTTCATATCACACAAATATAAAACGTATCAATCAAACATAAATAAACAACACCAATCAGCACACGTTTCCAACATCAAAATGGAATCAAGTTTCATAAACCTAAAACTCATTTCATGCAAAGACATTCACGCCTTCAACTTCTTCCAAAAACTAACGCTCTACGCGCAAGCCTCAATCTCCTCCAACAACCCCAGAATCCAACTCAACGAACGAAACACACAGCAACAACGAACACAAACACACAGAGACATCGAAGAAGACGGAACCAACCCCGAATGGAACTGTGATATGCGTTTCGATTTAGCTTTTCTTTCCTCGCATTCAGATCCCGCCGAGTTTTTCCTATGTTTCGAGTTTCGTCACGACGGCGTCATCCTCGGCGACAAATTCATCGGGGAGAGCCGCGTTCCGATAACGGATCTGATCAACGACGTCGACGGTATCACGCGGTTCGTTAGCTACGAGATTCGTTCCGCCGAGGGGAAGCCGAACGGGATCTTCAATTTTTCGTATAAGACGGAGGGTGTTCAGATCCAATCGTTGCAGATTCTTGATGGGAGAATATCTGGTTATCCTGTTCTGACTCCGGAGGATTGTGCTCCTGCTCCGGTGATATATCCGATATCAGAAATCGAGAGACCGTGTTGTTATTCTACTGGGTGTTCTGTTCAGGAGAGACCGTTTCCGCCTACGGCGCCGCCTCCTGTTTCATATTCGTATGGCGGAGGATATGATTATTGTTATCCGCCGCCGCCGCCTTCGATGTATCAGTATCCTTCTCCGACTCCGCCGAGGGAGCGGATGTACCCACCTATTGGGCCTGAGGCTAGTCATTGGCAGCCCGGCCCGTATTTTGAAAACCGGTGGTGATGGGCTGATCGATAGTTTACTGGGCTGGAGATATATAATTTGGCCCAAAATGTAAAGTAGAAAGCATAATTTTTTATAATTGAGAAAATTTTATGTTTGTTTATGTTTTTTTTACCTTGGGGAATGAGATTTTAGTTTTTTATCTTCACATTTTTGTTTGTTTAATTAAATATTTTTTACTTATTAATTTTATTATTAATTAATTTATTACAAAATCAATTAATTTTTAAAAAGTTTAATTAATATATACGATCAGTGTGAAAAGTTTTACCGGATGAGTGCATCACAACTATTCATAGCATAGGTAATATTTATTGCGGATGGAAATAACCGTTTGTTACTCAAGAGTAGGGATGACAACGGGGCGAGTCGAAAGTGGGTTTAAATACACCTAAACCCGCACCTGTCATCTAGACCCGCGTCCGTCTCTAAATTCAGTCGGGATTAATATTTGTTTCCTTGCTTCCACCTCCAATAAGAAACGGGTTTCTCCGCATTCGCTTTACACCCGCCCGAATAAAATATTAATTTTTTAAAATCTTATATTTTTTTTCAATAAAAATAAAAATCAATAATTGAATTAAATAATTAATTATTTTAATAGCATTTTTTATGTTTGATATTTTTATTTAAATTATATTTTCAAAAAAAATAAATAATAATTATAATAAATATGATATTATAACATTGAAAAGTGTAAATGAGTAATAAAACTATTAAAAGTAAATGAAATAAATTAAATTTAGTTGGTGGGTGCGGGGTGGGTGCGGGTGCAGGACGGGTACTAGCATCACCCGCCCCCGCACCCGTAAATAAAAATTGGATTTTTTCTGCATCCACACCCGCTCCCGGTTAAACCGGGTTTTCTCCGCTAATTTCGGGGCAGAGGCGACCGGGGTTCGGCGGGGATGGATTTATTTGCCATGCCTACTCAAGAGTTTTAGTCACTTATAAGTGGATAGTAATGCCATTCGGTTTAAAAATGTGGAGGAAATCTACCAAAGGGTAATGAATTCTATTTTTTATGATTATATTGAAATATTTATACAAATTTTTATTGATGATGTAGTCATTAAGTCTGTGTCGAGACATGGTCATTTGTATCATCTTCGACAATCATTCGAAAGGATGGAAAAATATGAATCTAAGATGAATCATCATAAATGTGCATTCTGTGTGCAGGCAGGAGATTTCTTAGGTTTCGTTGTTCATCAGAAGGGTATCAAAATCAATCAAAATAAAATAAAGGTCATCATAGAAACCAAGTCTCCTTCGACTAAGAAAGAACGTCAATCTTTGCTGGAGAAGATCAATTTTCTAAGGAGGTTGTTCACGTAGGTTTCTGACAAACAATATCTAGCCTCTTAATTAAATATTACTTACATGATCAACTACAAGAGTCCTAGACTTTGTGTTAAGTTTGGTGTGGATTTAGTTTTTGGACTGGGTTAGACTGAATAGTGAATGAAATGAGTAAAAGGTAACAATTGCAAAGTAAGAACAAAAGAACAGAACAAAATTTTCAAAGAAGACAACACTGGAAATTGCATTAAATTAAATGTGGAAGCATGCATACATTTCAAACTTGAACTTGTTTCTCTCTAGAATGCGGATACTTTGAGTAATTCTTTGAATGTAGTAAAATGTGACATCCAAAACGAATCTAAAAACGTGCTTAAATAGATAAACAAAGTAACTGTTCGACTGTTACTAAACTACCACGTTTTGATTTTGTGTCAAACGTCAATTGTAACTGCTTCTGTAACGCCCGTAATTTAATTAATCATTTAATTAGTCTATTTTTGAATTATTTGTGAAGTTGTGTTATGATGATAGTTGATGTGTTGTTGTTATTGGATTTATTTATTCTATTAAGTTGTGGAATAATATTAGAATAATAATATTATTTGACGTTGGCTTATTTTAAGGACGAGAAGTAGTAGAAAGAGGGTGTAGGAGTTTTAAGCCCATTAAGACATAATGAGAATTATAGGGTTATTATATTAGTTATTTAGAATTAATATGGAGAACAAGTAACAGTAAGAAGAGAAAGAAAATAAGGGTTGGAAGAGAACGTGAAAGTTGCAGAAAAGAAGAAAAAGAGCCAGAACGGAATTCAACCGGAAATATTATAGAGAAATCTTAGATCCAATATAAGGGTGGGGTTCTGACTCTATAATATGATTTATGATGAGTAGTATGTGGGATTAAATGTGAAAGGTTATTTTGTTTATGATTGAAATATATATATATATATATATATATATATATATATATATATATATATATATATATATATATATATATATATATATATATATATATATATATATATATATATATATATATATATATATATATATATATATATATATATATATATATATATATATATATATATATATATATATATATATATATATATATATATATATATATATATATATATATATATATATATATATTGTTGTTGTTTGATGAGGATCAATGATTTAGAGATGAATAATGATGCCCTAATGTTGTATAATTGATGTGGAAATATAGAATTATTATAATTGATGATTACCTATGATTAGATGATGTTTTTAGGGCCTAAGGAAGAGAAATCGCAGTGAAATCGCATAATATTTTCATCACAGGTAAGTATGAGTCGACCTCAAAAGCCATGCGTCGACATATTTAGGAGTTAAGACTCAGGATGAGTCAATACATAAGGACCATGCACCGACACATGCAGCATTTCAGACTCAGTATGAGTCGACACAAGAGGTTACGCATCGACTCATGCAAGACTCAAAACCCAATACGCGTCGACTCAAAGAAGTATGCGTCGACTCATGTAGTCTGATTTTTGACATATTCTTCCAGAGGCTGTAACTTGAGTTTCCGGACTCCGTTTGAGGTGCAGTTTGAAGCGTTGGATAGATAATGTGATGAACTTTATTCTTAAGGATTAAAATTAAGTATAATAATAATAGTCCTATTACCCAAGTTAGGATTAGAGTTAGCTTCCCGCGTTAATCGCTATGATGATTTTGTGAAGTATGATGAGGATAAGATGATTATAGATTATTGCTTGGTTCATAACAATAAGATTAATGATGATAATGATGTAGTATTACAAAATAATAATATGTAGATGTTTGGTAGTTATAGATAAGCCTCAGATGATTAATTAATTATAGGCATTATCATATTGTAGGCCTATGGCCAACGTTGAGGGATTGTTGATCTGTCGTTGTATTGTTGTTATGGTTGAGTTGATGTGGAATTATGTTGATGAATTATGTTGATGAATTATATTGATGAATTATGTTGATGAATTATGTTGATGAATGATGTTGATGAATTGTGTTGATGAATTATGTTGATGAATTATGTTGATGAATTATGTTGATGAATGATGTTGAGATGCCTATAATAATTGGCAGTTATTAAGATGTAGGCTTCTGGCTAACGATGATATTGTGTTGAGATGTTGTTAATTGTGTTTGTTGTTACTACATTCATGATTGTGTTGCATACATTTCATATCAAGATGGAGCTGATGCTCGTTAAGATGGTATGTATTGGTGAATATTAAGATGAAGGCTTATGCCTTGTTGATGCCTCTATTTATTGGCAATTATTTTGAGATAAGAGTTCTGCTCCAATGGTATCACATGCATTTGTATAGTATTGAGTCGCATCATATGATTGCATAAAGAAGTTGTGTATTGATGTGGTAAATGTGTATATTGTTGGTATTCTGTTGCGATTATTATTGTTTATAAGATGTGAAGTGGTGATATTATATGATCTGATCTAATATATTATTTATCATACATTTTATTATATTGTTATATATCTCACTCCTTCTGTTTGAATGTTACCCTTATGTTGGTAATGGGCAGGTAATCCAGAGTGAAGGTGGTTTACCTTTAGTAGTTCGAGTCGGTGTCATTGCTCTGATACATAACACTTGGGGGGGGGGGGGGGGGGTGAACGCTTGTTGCTTTTAATTATTGATTACTTCAGTTGTTGAACTTTAATTTGATTGTTACTAAGTATGTGTTATTTTGAAGTTGCTGTAACGATGGACAAAGATGTTATTATGATTCCGCTGCGTAGTTCTTTAAGTTGTCGAATTACGAGATTAATTTATTTTGCTGTTGGTTCATCCGAAGTTTTAAAGTGTTATGTATCCATGTTGAATGCAATGTGTTTTTAAGTTGAATTTGTGGCATCCTAATTCAGTTGTATGAATGTTAAAACTCTGATTTATATTTATAATTGCCGGGTAGAATTGGAGTGTTACAAAGTTGGTATCATAGCAAAAGTTGGTCCACCCGACCAAGTTGTCGAGTCGTAGGTTGTCTAACAATAGAGTATTGTTAATTTGAGTTCTAACTGTTGTTTATGTTGTAGTTATAAGTTGAGATGGCTGGAAGGAATGATGCTGCACTTGCTACTGCTTTAGAAGCAATGGCGCATGCGATGGAGAATCAGCCGAATGTTGACGGGAATGCTGGATCTCGTAGTTTGGTGACTTTCCAGAGAGGAATCCGCCTACCTTCAAGGGAAAGTATGATCCTGACGGAGCATTGGATTGGTTGAAATAGATTGAGAGGATCTTTCGTGTGATGGACTACACTTCAGTGCAGAAGGTTTGATATGGTACTCATATGCTAGCAGTCGAGGTTGATGACTGGTGGCTAGAGACTTGTCAGATATTGGAAGCTGCGGGTGAAAATGTCACTTGGGCTGTGTTCCGTAGGGAATTTTTGAGGAAGTATTTTCCTGAAGACGTTCGTGGTAAGAAGGAGATTGAATTCCTTGAGCTGAATCAAGAGAATATGTCGGTTTTTGAGTATGCTGCAAAGTTTGCTGAGTTGGCTAAGTTTTATCTGCACTACGGTGAGGCAGATGTTGAGTTTTCGAAGTGCATCAAGTTTGAGAATGGGTTGCGCCCAGAGATCAAGAAGGCAGTTGGATAGCAGAAGATCCGTGTCTTTGTTGAT